CAAAATTTTCCATAACTCTTTGCTGTTGTTTTGATGCTGATCAATTTTCCTCTGAATATATTCACATCGAGTTTTCTTAATCGATTGTGAATATTTATTACGCGCGACCGTGTACCTATTCCAATGATTATCACTATTAGATCTACAAAACATTTTGTACCATTTGTCCCTCTTACGTTTAAGGCGCAAAAGATCCAAATTGTACCAGCTGTTCGAGTTTTTCTAAGAAACAAACTTTTGTTCAACTAATTTATTGATACAAGTTTTCAAAACGTTAGTAAGAACAGCTGCATCTTCATCTAAAGTTCCGGTAACTAATGGAAAATCCACGCTTCTCTCAACAAGATTCGAAACAGCTTGCTTCGAGTATTTCCTCCAGCACTTCAATTTTACAAAATTATCGTTATCGTTAACACTGTCTAAGACATTAATTACTAAAGTTTCATGATCGGTTATTTTCAAATCAGCTTGAGTAACTGAACTGACAGAATTAAAATAAGAATAAACATGGTCAATCAAAGTTCTACTGTGCCGGGAAATACGCGTACATTCACTTACTAATTGTTTTAAATTAAAGAAATCAGCTAATTGCTTAAGATGATTCGAATTGCTAGTAAATATCATGCCAATTAATGTTAAAATCACTCGCAAGTATATTTAGTTTACTAGAATCTAAAAATGTCTCGAACCAGTTCTCTAAAATTTCATTAAAACGCTGATTACTTGAACTGGGAGAATGATACAAAACACCATAATTACCCATCTTCATGCCACGTTCAACTGTAATGCCTAAGAACCAATTGCCATCAATAACTTCGTTTTGGCGAAGATTGAATTGAACTGATTCTTTGACATAAATAGCAACACCGCCAGTGTGCCTTGAATGTGACAAACAAGCAGCAGCTTTATATCCCGGAATGCTATACTGATCAAAAGATTCAATTTCTACAATATGTGTTTCTGCTAACAAAACCAAAAGTGGACGATTATCTTCTACAATATGACGTAATGTTACGTAGTTTGTAGATAACCCCGCAATATTCAAATACAAAATCTCTAATTTACTCACATTACTACTGGAACTTGGTTGCTATTTATTGAAATGTAAGCTGCTTTTTTTCTGATCATATAGAGTTTTTGATACACAAAACAATTAGAACTAAATGCTGCGTGGTTGACGTCCAGATTTAATTTACGCTCCTTATTAGCTTTTAAACAATTAACGCATTTCAATAGAGTTGACGTACACTTAGAGGTGCTATGTTGTTTGCTTCATCTAGAGCATCGTTCGCAATTTTTGCAATCCGTGCTTTTGTGCCCAAATTCTCCACATCTGAAGCATCGCAAAACATTAAACTTTTTGTATCATTTGTCCCTTTTCCGTTTAAGAAGCAAAAGATCCTACTTGTACCAGCTGTTTTATTTTCGACTTCATTGGTACCCAATGTGCCGACATAGGGTTATTTATTAATAAAAGTGGCTCTTGAAATATTTAGTTTCGACCGTGTAATAAAAAGGATTAACCGCGTAAGTAACATTTTTATCGAAAGCAACCTTTTAGCAGTTTTTGGATCCACTCAAATTGGTACACCTCTCCTACAAAAAAAAAATGAGATGATAGAAACCAATTTAAATTGAGGTCTAAAATATTCATTTGAAAAGCAACAACAAAGGTCCGGTTTTTTGCTGCTATACTTATTCGATTTCTCAACTCAATGATTAAATTATGGACACATTTTATTTTTTGAAACTGGAAATATATTAGCTCAATTCTGAATTATTTATTGGTGTATATTGAGTTATCCATTACTAACTTTTTTTCTAATAAAACAATCTGTCCTAAACCGTAACGCAGGTACATCACCTTTTCATGGTGCGTTTCCGGTGTAAGATCCTAAGTACTACCCTCTGGCCCTAAGCTCTTCTTGTTGACGGTGGTCAAAATCGTCGCTTGTTTTGTACTGAGGACCAAGAAATCAAAAATATTTCCAAATGACAAAATGACAAGCGATTAACGAGCGATGATATAATCTTCTTCATTTTTTTCATCACAAACAGTCTCTGCAACATTGTTGGCAAGCTGCTTCACTAAGTAAAGCCGACGATGATACATGTGTGTTAATGGGAATTGTTTTGTTATGTCTTTTCTCGATTCCGATCAAGTTATGCCCTCAACCATGTATATTGCAACAAAGCAGGCAAGCAACATATCATTATCCTTGTACCACTCCGATCGAGCTGTGTTGCAGAGAGAGTTTGTCGTGGTAGTCGTAGCAAGTGTTTTGTCTGTATCGTTGGTTGCTTTATGTGTTTGGATCAGTGTAATTAGTTCTACGGGTTTATCCGTAAATCTAAGAATTTTTAGATTTACTACATAAAATTGTACGGATTTTCTAGATTTTTATGGATTTTTTATAAAGTGCCGGATTTAAAAAATTTTGACTCAGCCCCCGCTCGTTATTAAAAAAAAATATTTTCATTTGGAATGACATTAAATTTAGCAATAATTAACGCAATGGAAACAAATGTACCTATCTACGGATCATACTCCATGAAAAGTTAACAACATTGGTTTGGATACATACGCTACTAAGGACACATAGTTTGATTTATGAGAAGGCGCAAATTTGGAGAGGTCCCAGAACAGTTTTAATAATAAGCAATATTATCAGATTTTTTCATCTAGAGCTTCGAAGGTTTTATTTATGCTAAGCCAATAACGTTTAAAATGTATTGCCTCATTTTCTTTAAATCTCTGGTAGCAGGTCGTTTGTTGGGTTGTTTAGGGATGTTGAGATAAATACATATTTGTTATCTTCATTAAAAATGGATCCGAAATCCAAAATTTCATCAATTTTGGTACACTGGAACTATTTTAAATAAGTACGATTACATTAGCAAAAATCACCATCTTAGCGCCCCTTGGTGGGACTTTGTATGGGAGCGACCTGTCAACGAATAGATTTAGTGTCAACGATTAAAAAATTAAATCTTGATTTAAAAAACGAGAGAAATGTCTACGGGATCGATAAAAATATCGTTGTGCTCAGAAAACAAAGCTCTATCAGATTATGTACAAAAATCGGTATATTTTTCGAAGTTAAACAAACCAATTGAATGAGGATTATGGTGAGTCCTATTTTTATTGATGAGAGAGCGCGTCTTTTGAAAGGCTCCAGAATTCTTCGAATGATCCGGAACATCAAAATTAAATGAGGATTCTTTTGGCTTGTGAGAAGAGCAAGTATGGATGAAAACTGTATCGAAAACGAATACCTCATTTCTCGCGTAACATTTGAATAGGGCCTATGATCAAAATGTAAACAAACCGATTTTTGATACCATTTTGTAGCACTGGTAATTAGCTACCAGTCGTATAGGAATGTTCCGCATTATCGATAAAAATCATTAAAAATAACTTGATTTTAAAAACGGCCGATCCACGAAATTTTTCCAATCATTCATGCTAAAACGACCTAACCTCGGGCCCAACATATATTTTTTTTCGTTCGATGAGGTTCCATTCATAAGCCTAGCGACGTAGAAGGGCCGATGATTGAAAAATGTCAAATCAAAGCTAGGCCCTACTGCTTGAGGCAGGGCCGATGATTTATTTGACGTTAAGAAAAGGCTTAGCAAAGGGCCTACAATCTATGATGACAAGCACAACGGCTTAACAAAAAGGGCCTAACCATTTAAAGATTCACAAAAAGGCTTATTACTGTGATATTAAATTTTTATCGATTTTCATGTATTTTTGAAAACGTTTCGCATGTTTTGGATGTTGTGTACTGAGTTATAGTCACTATTGTTATTGTGAACAATATAAATGCCTATAATACTTCAATTTATTTATATAGGAATTAAATACTGGCGGAAAAATTTACAATTCATTTTCTGGATTGTTTACATTTTGGACATAGGCCCTTTTCAAATGTTACGCGAGATTTCATTACTTTTCCATAGTAATGAGGTACTACGACATGCACTAAACAAAGGACACGGACATATCACAAAAAATCAATGTGTTGGTCGAACAAAGAGGAAAAAATCAATCTGAGTGTCCACGGGATTTTGTATTTAGTTTGTAATGCTAATGATGATTAAGATTAAGATGATTTTATGTTTATTTAAATTCATTTCAGTAGCGCTTCTACGTAGAGGGTTAACAGTGGTTTGGCAAAATGAAACATTACTATTTTGAATTCAGCAACGGCTACTATATTTTACATCAACATTAAACGCTAATTTCACCAAAACTTTCATACTGAACCTACTGATTCAACATCTAATACTATTTCTTGATTTTGAACCTTAACCCATGTTCAGATTAGGGAGTTGTGACGATTAAGGACAAGATTGACGGAATCCTTCCACTTCACGTTTTCAAGGGCACTAATCTCAACGCCCAACAGTCGTATTGATCTGAAAATTATACTCGGTGCTTGCTTCGCTGCAGTTACATTTTGAACTTCGTACATTAAGTAGATCGCCAGATTTGGACCTGATAAATTGCGTGATAAAGTAAATGGTATGGTCTCGAATGACAACCGAACCAAAATGAGTCACAATTGGCAATTTTATAAGCATTTGCAACCTAAGTAAATAAGGCATAACATTTGATAACGGCACAGAAGCATTTGTAAACAAACTTTCTAAGGCCCTTTACACGCGAACCAAAGTACGCCCACGCAAACCAACAACATCATCGGATAGGGGCAACTATCACCTTTCTGAAAGTGGTATTGGTTTGCGTGGGTGTACTTTGGTTCGCGTGTAAAGGGCCTTAGAAAGTTTGTTTACAAATGCTTTTGTGCCGTTATCAAATGTTATGCCTGAAATAACACTTTATAACCCCCTAGTCTGAACATGGTATTACCTATAGCCAGGTATAATATCTCCATTTTGTAACTAGTTTTTAGTTCAAGAATTATAACAACCAACCGACATATTTAATGAAAACTATCATAGGATGGTTATATTGTAAATTGTGCCATTTTACAAACTATCACTAAATCATAAACTACTAAACATCTAACATAATAAATTATCGACCCCTACTGCTCTTCTGAGGTAAAATGGCCTAAATGCTCTGGGTTTAGAATCTACGTTTCAATTCGATGGAAATTTTACTTCTTCTCTTGATCTTGATCGTCATCGGTCTTCTCGTCCATGAGAATTTCATCCGTTTGCGTAATCGGAACAATGCGCTCGTTTACTTCCGGTGTCAACGTCTTTTTCGGTGCCGTAACCGTCAGAACTCCATCGGTAGAAAGAGCCGACGTAACATCTTCCGCCTCGTATCCATCTACAATCGAAACGCAATCATCATTAATATGTCATTTTCTTCACCCCCACCTGCCCGTTTGAACGACCAACAAACGATAATTAATTAATTAGCACTCACTCGGCAACTTGTATCGGCGCATAAACTGTCTCGAAACGTAACCATGCTGGTCTTGCTTCTCGTCGTGCTTCCCCTCGACGACAACCGTATCGTCCACCGTCTTGACGCTAATCTCATCCGGTGAAAATTGCTGCACATCCAGAGTGATTTGGAACCGGTCGCTATCCGTATTCACAATCGAACCCGCATCCTGGTGGGATAGGACCGTTCGCCAAGGGCGATAGTAGCCGTTCCGGCGATAGTTTTGCCTCGGACAGGCAGTCACTGCTCCGAACAAATCGTCCGCCAACAATCCGGTGGCAAAGTGCTGATCCATGATTCTTGAGCTGCGCAACGGAACGTCCCAAACGTCGTCCCACCAATCGCGGAACAAAACCGGAACCAGGGACATTGAATCGATGGGTTGTTTGTCCTTTCTGAAAATTTTGTCACACTGACCTGGAATAGGGCCAACGATTTTCACGTCCGGTTTGATCGATTAGAATTTATCCGTCTGCTCGCGTTCGCTTCGTGACACTGATTGTGAGTGAGGCCGCGAGCGGCACGTGAAAGACTGCCCCTGTTGGTATGCAATACAATTTGTTAGTAGCCAGCTGTACGATGTGAGTGAATTTTTTGTTGTTGCATGAATTTTGTGTAGGGTAAACGCTCCTATAGTTGCGCTGCGTTAGATGCGTTAGGTTTCCATAGTTGTGTATGGAGACTCCATACACACGCTTCTGACGTACCGTAACTATAGGAGCGTTTACCCTACTAGATACATGGCTGAGACTAGAATAGTATAGAGCTTGCAGTGAATTAGCTAGAAGAGAAGCTTGAATGTAGCAGAAATGATCGAGCAAGTTTGCATTATTGCTGCTGGAAATGGCTTAGTGAGAGACTGTTTGTGCTCAAAAAAATATGAAGATTAGCTTACTGAAAAATGTTTAGTAATTTTCCTGAAATTTATCATCATTTTCAATTGAGATACCCAAGTTATGATTGGAGAGAAGCGTGTTACTGATAATCACGTGACATCGAAAATGTTCTAGATCTCATAATAGAAGATCTAGATCAGGCCTGTCTAAACGTTTTAAACTTGCTTTTTTAAACGGTTGCATGTATCGATGACTATTTTTCAAGCTGACTTTTGGTAATCGCTCATTCATTCTAGGCTAAAATTCATAATGATGAATAGAATTGAACTGGAATGATACTATTGCTTAGATCCAGAGAACACGTCGAGCCGCGGGTCACATGGTGGGCAGCGCTGATCTATAGATGGAAGCAAAGGCTTCCATGATAAACTAATTGTCGACAGATATTCAGTCAGGTCTAGAGGTCTATGATACATCATTTGAGAAACAATACAATTTTAATGAGATCACCTAGGTTATATACGATGTCCTCAACAACGATTTTTGTTCAAGCAGAGTTACGGAATATATCTGCATCACATGTACAAACGTTAAATCCACGATTAAAAAATATTCTAGGTTCTCCCAATCGAGTTCAGAACATATGATTTAAGAAATCAACCAGGACTGAGAAACTTCCTTTATTAACTATATATCGAAGCCAGTCCATGTTTCTGATAAATGGAATACACACCCCTTACTTTCACTTAGGTTTTATTTTTATAAATAAAAGACCATCACTATAGTTCATCTATATTCAGTCCGAATCGTGCACGCATAAAGCTGCAACAAATTTAAATAACACTTCTCAGTGCTAAATATTTCCTGCAAATGTTCTACCTTGTTTGATTCTTATTCCTCTGTGATCCTTGTTTGGACCCTACCCAAGGTAATCCTGCTTAGATATCGATTTGGAATTCTTCTTATAGTAATCTGCTTGGAAGTCGGTTTGGTGAAACTTTCTTCTACCGTCATGGCGCGGTGGAGAGCTGGGGGTTGTTAGCCGCCGCTGGTGGTGTAGTGGTAAGCGTGGGTCGGTGGGATTTTTCTGAGGCATAAAAATCTCTGGTCACGTCTTCCTTCGAAAGGAAAGTAAAGCCGTTGGTCCCGGCCCATGTGAGTGTTGAATGGGTGCGATATCCTACGCAGGTGTGATAGCTGCCTTGCTGCACATTCGATTGCCGTCAATGGTTTCGGATAGTACCATCCAGAAATTAAAATCCATTGGATGCTCCATATCTCAAGCGAGAAACAACATAAACAACATGTTGCCGGAAGCGCAAAGATGCTGTAACATGTGCATCGCACATATTATGAAATCCTTTCAGTGTGGCCCAAAAAGACCAAACCAGCAGTATCCATTTCTAAGAAATATTTTTTCCTATGCCATCGAACTGCCTATGCAATAAAACGCAAATGGATGCATAAGCATGGTCGATGACTCCCAACAGTTCCCAACTACTTCAGCGATACTACATTATTATTATTTAACTTTATTAGGGAGGCTTTCAGCCTTGGGCTGGTTCGCCTCCATGCGATACTACAGCGATATACCACCTGATTTTCAAAGTTCTTATAATTAGCTTGTGGGCCGGCGCCGGTGGTGTAGTGGTAAGCGTGACTGCTTTTTCTCACCCCAATGGGTCTGGGTTCAATCCCAGCCGACGTCGGTGGGATTTTTCTGAGCCATAAAAATCTCTGGTCACGTCTTCCTTCGGAAGGGAAGTAAAGCCCTTGGTCCCGCCCCATGTATGTGTGTTGAATGGGTGCGATATCCTACGCAGGTGTGGAAGCTGCCTTCCTGCACATTCGATTGCCGTCAATGAATGGCAACCGATGTCCGTCGGTGATTGGCACTAGATTGCGGAACAGAGACCGACGTTAAATAAAGGAAAGAAGATAATAAGCTTGTTTTCAACAGACTGGCATTTCAAAGATTGACAATGTTGGCTAGAATTCTAAAGAAATTTTTAGCTCGAGAGATTATTTCAATGGGTTCTTAATAAATATTAGGGAATTTTAAGGAGAACCCTTGCAACATTCAAAGAAGAATTTTAACAAAGTTCTGATGAAATTTTCAGGAGTGTTCTGAGGAAAGTTTCAAGAAAATTATTAGCAAACTTCAATAGTAGGTCGGAAATGAATTGCAAAAGGTTTCTGAAAAATGCTTCCACTCACTTGCTAATAAAAAATGATTTCCTGAATTTTGAAATCATTAGATGTTATAATGATATTTTTTACTTGTTAGATACAAGAAGAGGTTGAAAGGCAAGTGTTTGACTCATAAAATCTGTCAATATTGCTACCAGAGTGTTACAATCAGCGATCTTATGATTCGTGAGCGTTCACTCAGAGTGAATGCTGTGAAACCTGTCAAATTTGCTTTCAGATAGTCACAATCAACGATTTTACGACTCGCGAGCGCTCACTCTGAGTGAACGCTCACGAATCATAAGATCGCTGATTGTAACACTCTGGTAGCAATATTGACAGATTTTATGAGTCAAACACTTGCCTTTCAACCTCTTCTTGTATATAACAAGTACAAAATATGATTATAACATCTAATGATTTCAAAATTCAGAAAAATCATGTTTTTATAGCAAGTGAGTGGAAGCACGCCTACTGTAGAGTGAACTTCCAAAAATTCAGTAGATGATGAAAGTTTGAATTTTTTCTAGTGTGTCAGAAATTTTACTTGTGAATATATATTTTTAATGGGTGGAAAACAAAATAATTGTCGATTTTTGCGACTTTTGTGAACTTTATTCCAGGATGGTCTAAAAACAAACATAAGTGTTAATTTTTTTTATCTAATCCTAACGCATAAAGGGTGATACGGTCAAAATTTGGTCAATATCAACTTGACGTATTTCTTTCAATTTTGCATTTAAAAAACCTGAACACCCCTCATTTTGAAGGTGTGTGTGTGTAGAATGTTGCTCCTATTTTGATTTTGGAATTCACTCTTCAGTTGTCAAAATGCCGTCCAAGCAAGAAGAGCAGCGTATCAAAATTTTGCTCGCGCATCGCGAAAATCCGAGCTACTCGCACGCAAAGTTGGCAAAATCGCTAAAAGTTGCCAAATCAACCGTTACAAATGTAATTAAAGTGTTTGGGGAACGTTTGTCGACAGCCAGGAAGTCTGGATCGGGGGGAAATCGAAAACCGGAAGCCGCTGAGACGACAAAGAGAGTTGCGGTAGTTTCAAGCGAAACCCTAACCTCTCTCTCCGAGATGCCGCAAATAAGCTGGGTGTATCGTCTACAACCGTGCATCGAGCCAAAAAAACGAGTCGGACTATCGACTTACAAGAAGGTAGTGACTCCAAATCGCGATGATAAACAAAATACGACGGCCAAAGCACGATCCCGGAGGCTGTACACGACGATGCTGACGAAGTTTGACTGCGTGGTAATGGACGACGAAACCTACGTCAAAGCCGACTACAAGCAGCTTCCGGGACAGGAGTTTTATACGGCAAAAGGAAGGGGAAAGGTAGCAGATGTTTTCAAGCACATGAAACTATCAAAGTTCGCAAAGAAATATCTGGCTTGGCAAGCCATCTGTACCTGTGGCTTGAAAAGCAGCATTTTCATAGCTTCCGGGACTGTCAACCAAGAAATTTACGTGAAAGAGTGTTTGAATAAACGTCTGCTGCCTTTCCTGAAGAAACACGGTTGTTCCGTACTGTTTTGGCCGGATTTGGCATCTTGCCATTACGGTAAAAAGGCCATGGAGTGGTACGCCGCCAACAACGTGCAGGTGGTTCCCAAGGACAAGAACCCTCCCAACACGCCAGAGCTCCGCCCAATTGAGAAATACTGGGCTATTGTCAAGCGGAACCTAAAGAAGACCAAAAAAACTGCTAAGGGCGAGCAGCAGTTCAAGGCAAACTGGCTTTCTGCGGCGAAGAAGGTGGACAAGGTGGCTGTACAAAATCTGATGGCAGGGGTCAAGCGTAAGGCCCGGCAATTCGGATTTGGAAAAGCGGAAGCCTAACTGAATATTTTGCCTGAATTTTATACTAATTGAACTTAAAAAAGAAATTTAATTTGATTTTTTAAATAAACGATTTCACCGATTTACACGCGTTTTCCCTTGACCAAATTTTGACCGTATCACCCTTTACTTTAAGCATAATCTAAAATAAAACGTTTCTAACAAATGTTCAAGTTAATGATGATTATTGAAAAAGTGATATAGAATAAATGGCAGATCTCTACCAGGACGGGACTCATTTTGTGAGTTGTTAAAGAAAAATAGATGAGATAAAATGAGGATTTGGAAATGTTTTCGATAAAATAAGAAATATATATTGAACGTTCACCAAATTGTAAAATATTAAAATCCTTTTCATGCAAAAAAACGCGCAACATCTGTACGTTTATTGAAAAATCAAATAAATTAGGGAAACTAAATGTGTTTTATCATTTTGCTTTGCGTAATTGTCGGAGTCACAAAATATTGTAAAATTTTTATATGGACAACATTAAAAGGACTATTATTTCAAGGTTATGATTCTTTTATAAGTCTTGGTTAAAAAAAATGTGTTCGCAATGCACAACATTTACCGAAGCAGGAAAATTTTTAAATTATATTGGA